CCCCTTTGTGGGCTTTGTGCACAGTCTTGTTGTAGTTAAGCCTTGATTGTTGTAGGTATCACTGGGAGGAATTGACCTCCAGGCCAATTGGCTGTGAGAATCAGCTGTGTCTGCAGTGGGAGAACTTCTGTCCTGGAGACACCCCTTTGGGGCAAGACTTGCTTCAACGGGGCTTTGGTGCTCACTCTGGTGTCTCTTCATATAAAGACATAATCCTGTCAAATCAGGCACCCACCCTTATGAGTTAAATTAGCCTTAATTACTTCTTTTGAGGCCCCATCTCCAAAAGCAGCCATACTGGAGATAAGGGCTTCAACATATGCATTTTGGAGGGAAACACATTCCGTCCATACTATCCTCAAGTTTTCTGTACATTCTTTACACAGAATTGGAGTCCTGTGTATTCAGTTTCAGACTTGACTTTTAAAAATGTAATTTCCATAGTTATAGAATACCATAAAGCTTATAACAGCAACAACAAAAATCTAATAGAACTTTGCTTCCCCATCCCACATTTCTGCTCCTCAGAGACAGTCACTTTCAAACTTTTTAACTCTTTCTTATTGTACCACCTCCATATTTCTAAATAAGCTGTTTATACTTTAATATTTAATTTTTATACATCAGTTATGACTTCCTATAATGGCAGGATTCAATTATCTCCTGTACCATATACAACCACACTTCTCCCACATTCTCCCAATATGTTGTTGTTATTATCACTGTATTTATTAAATCAATATTTGAGTTTGTTACTTGATAGCTGGGTGATCTTGGACAAATATCATTTCTCTGCACCTCACTTCCCCCATATTTAGAATAGGGATAACAATAATGCTTATGTTATATGATTGCTGTGATGATTAAAAGATGAAACTCTCATAGTAGTACTTGGCACATATTATATATTATTGTTATTTCTTGTATACATTTTTGTTTTCCCTTTAATTCTGTCTGTTTCTGTTTCATGTATTTTGGAGCTTTATTATTAGGTGCATGCATA